TCATGAAAAAATCGTGTGTTTTGTTTACTTTATAATTTTCGGAATTCTGAATCTCACCCTGAAAATGCAGGAAATCGTATTTCAGGGACTCTAGATTTCAAAAATTTTCCGGGGGGGCATGCCCCCGGATCCCCCTAGAAGTGTCTCGCGCCTTCACCGCTCGAAAATCCCCCCCACTTTTAAAAGGCTGGCGCCGCCACTGATCAAAAGTTATGATGCTGCACTAGAACGACACTCATCATTTCCAACGAAAAAGAAGTAGGTAAAAGCATACAATAAGCCATTGACTAATATGTAAATGCAAGACAAACTTTCTCTACCGGTGAGGTGAAGACTCGGCAATTTTTTCTGTGCAAGTCTAATTAATATACAAATAGTAAAAGAATAACATTGAAATTGAGCCACCATATTTGAGTGGATATTTGCCATATAACTCTGGTCGACATCTAATAAAAAACTAAAACTTATATAGTAAAAGAAATATATGAAATTATATTTTGGAGTTACCACATTCAAGTGGTTATCTCCCCAGGAAAAGTTCTTTCATGGGCTCGCCACATTTGAGTGGATATTTCCCTTATAACTCTGGTCATCTAATAAAAAAATTAATAGACCTCCTAGCAATCTAAGCAATTAAGGTGGCTCCCTACAGTTATTCTTGTTTAAGCAATAATTCCGTAAAACAGGCTTATTCGTGCAGAACGCGAATTCTTTTCGACTTGGTGGCAATATTGGTCACCTAAGGAATATTTCGAACTAGATTTCGACAACGCCAATGTTCCCATGGCAACATGATGACAGCATAAAGCCTTCCAATTTAACCCATAAATGTGCCGCTATCTCAAAAACGATGTCGGTGACCTATATTTTTTATTTCATATATCAATAGGGAATGATGCTCTGCAACTGTGGTGAAAGTTTAAAAAAATTCTGTAGTGTGTGATTTTTTAAAAGTGAAAATTTTATTGTGAAATTTCCACACTACAGATTTTTTTAAAAATTGAAATTTATATAATTTACCGCAAAATAAATTCGTGGTCAAAATTTGAAGATAGGTCACCGATGAAACTAATGAGTAAAATGCAAATAAAGTTAGAAAATAGCCTCGTGTAACTCGAGAAATTCCCCTATTGAAAAGCGTCGCTGACTAGTAAAAGATTGTACGCGGGCGCAGAACGAGTTTTCATTCAGCAAAATCGAGCGGCAATTTTATTTTTACTGTTTTGTTTTTGTCAACTTTTCGATTTATTTGAGTGCTATGGACAGCCAAGGTAATTTATTATTGTGAAGGATCAAATCGGTGAAAACAAGGTTGAGCCGTTAACTCAATGTATGAGCTGTAACAGCCTATTAACAGGTGGACGTGTTTTTTTGTTTCATGTTTGGTTTTGTACTTTTTGCTAAAAATGAACAATTAGGCCATGAAACTGAAATATTTTTCTGTTTACATATAATCACTTCAATCTTGTAGAAACACGACTAAAAACGTGAACGTGTTCTTGAGAAGTAAACAACTTTTTAAACGTTTGTATGCAATTTTGCAAATGTTTTACAGTTGACAGTGTATATTTTAAAAAATTAAAAAATATTGTTACGTAGCTATTTTTTGGTCTAGTGATATTCGTATCATATGTAGAATTGCTGTATTGACCCGTAAGTAATTTGGCACTCAAAACGAAGTATTATTCAACACTTTTTTCCATTAGAAACCTTTCAGAAATAACTTTATTTTTTAAAAAAAGCGTGGTCAATTTTTGTTTTGTTTTGATCATGCGGTTGCGTGGGATAGTTCACGTACTGGTCCCGCGAACATCCCGCACGCAACTGTAGGGAGCCTCCTTAAGATATGAAATTAAATTTTAGGGTCACCACATATTCAAGCCAAGTGGTTATCTCCTCAGGAAAAGTTATATCATGAGCTACCACATTTGAGTGGATATTTCCCATATAACTCTGGTCATCTATTAAAAAAGTAAAATATGAAATTATATTTTGGGGTCACCACATGCATTCAAGTGGTTTAATATCTCCCCAGGAAGAGTTGTATCATGGGCTCATCACATTGAGTGGATATTTCCCTTATAACTCTGGTCATTTTATTTAAAAAATTAATAGACCTTATAGCAAAAGTAAGATATGAAATTATATTTTGGTTCACCACATTTAAGTGAAGTGGTTATCTCCCCAGGAATAGTTATATCGAGTCACCACATTTGAGTGGATATTTCCCCTATTGCCTGTATTTTAGCTAAGCTAGAGCTCACTCACACTCAACGAGTGGAGGTTTGATCAGAGCTTCTCTTGAGTGTCATAGTTAGTGTCGAACCTTACTATGTGACTACTCACCCTCCACCTATTCAAAAACAACATTGACACTCAAGGTAAGCTCAGATTAAACCTCCACTCATTGAGTGTGAGTGAGCTTTTAGAGTACAGGTGTATAACTTTGGTATTGGTAATTATGGTAAAAGAAATATTAAATTTTATTTTGAGATCACCACTTTCATGTAGATATTTCCCGTATAAATCTAATATTCCCTGATATAATTTCAAGGGACTATAATAATGTACCTATCAATGTTAAGCCCCTGAGGGGGTCGGCATATGTGGGGTATTTTATAATCAATTGCATCCCCACCCTGGGGATTTGGATTAGCATTTTGGGCCAGAGTTTAGGCCCATGTAACCCGGTTGTTTGTCACTCATTTTGTAGCTGCTTTGTCGCTTGTTTTATAGCAATAAATGTCACTGTCACTTTTGACCCATAACACAAATCACAATTTCTTGCTTTTTCCCGGTCAGAAGCTGTCGTTTGTCACTCTTTTGTACATAGTCTGTCACCTCTTTTTAAGGAATGTCACCTGTCGGTCATAACCCCTTGGTGGGCCTCTGAGTTAGGCCAATTTGAACCAAATGACTTTTATTAATATAGTATTTATTGCAAAATGGTGGGGTATTTGACCAATATTTATTGACCGACGGTGGGGCATTTGATTGAAAAATTGCTCACAAAATCAAATGCCCCAGTACCCCACATATGCCCAACCCCCAACCTCTGGGGCTTATAAACATTGATAGGTGCATATAAACATGGCCAGCAAAATATTGCCTTCTTGGTTAAACAAGTAAAACTACCACAAAGCCAATCTTTCTTTGTGTATCAACTCTCCTGAGAGCTTCTATCTCCAGTGGTCGATTGTAAATTCGGCATTGGCCATTGTGTTACAATTATATTTTGCTCGCCTGTTGACGAGCAGAGTCAGAGAAAGGTTTGTTCAGCATATCACTTATAATATCTGCCTCTGTGGAAGCTGTCACGCTTCCTGAAGCTATAAAAATGCAAATTAATACAACACGAAATCACTTACCTTGATCAGTTGACACCTGAACGGAGTATTCGACTAATTTGAGCATGAATTATCTCGAAAAGAAAGACTGTATCAAAGGACAAAGGCTCAAGTCATGCTCTGGAAAATGAGCATGACTAGATGTTGCGAAACAGCGCATTTGAGCATGTGCAGTTGCCATTATCCAATCAGATTGCCAGTATTTCTACTATAAAATATATTACTTGTAGTCCGGCAGATGGAAGCCGAAAATAAGCGAATACTTACGGTTGTTTGGGACAATTCGTGCTGATTTCAGAGGGCATGACTAGACCACGAAATGCATGGAACATGATGTACACACGAAATTCACACGAACTCGCCATGTTTGTTGCTAGGTAACGTATGCAAATGAGCAATATTTTGCCGAAAATGACATAATATAGCAAAATCTTGTCTAAAGTACTTGTGAAAGCTTCGAAAAGCTAAAAGATTTGAATTTGAATTTTAGCGGAAAGAAATTCTTTATTTTTGGGGAAATTTTTTGGTCGTGCTCAGCATGACCAGCATGACCGCTAGCTACACCACTGCTTACAAGTTATTGTGATGTTATTTTCTCCTTAAATCATATTGACATATATGACATATTAAAAACTGTATCTACCATAGAAAAGCTGATGAACTGATTGCCGATGTAAAAGATGTCAATTTTAACAGCTTAGAAGTTCATGCCAGATTGTGCTTTTTAAGTTATATATATTTAACAATGTTCAACCTTCCATTTATTGTGTTTTTCATGCAAGCCACTGTGACGTCAACCTTGCAAGCAAGGGCCTCCGCAGTGGGATGGAAACCCTTGTAAAGGCTGGTCATGTGACCTGTTAATGATTTATTACCTGAGGGGGTGTTGTGAGTAGCATATCATATTACATGCTTCCACTTTAAAACTATTATTCAATTGCAATGCACCAGGAGTGAGAGAAAAAGTTTGAGAATCACCAAATCACCAACTTAGTTTGTGGCAATAATAGATAACAATGACCGTATTATGAATATGAAAAATTAATTAATTGGTACAATTGTCAACTGTTACAAAGGTAGGCAATTTATAACCAAAAATCTCATGGGTATGTGTTATATTAGTCAATGGCTTTAATTAACACTGGATACTGTTGAGCAGTTTGTAAAAGTATTTTTGTGTTTTGTATGACACATTGTTAAAATATGGAACTGCTGCCAAATACAATGGGTGTCCTATTATCAAAGTTGTGGATCAAATTTCAATTAATTGTCCTATTCACATCGCCCGCCATGTTGGACTACATCACTTTCCTTTTGTGCTTGCATTTTGCAGTTTCTAATAGTGTATATTACAATACTATTTTGAAACCAAAGCAAGTTCTATGCCGAGTATTTATATCTCAAACATGACGTGCTTTGTGTTCTACCTACTGGCTATGGAAGGTCTGTAGTTTTTATCTTATTCCTGTGTTGATGTTTGTGAAGGCAATATTAAAACAAGATGATGGCGCTTCTCTCTGGAGCATGGATATGTCTATGGCGACAACTATTGTCATTGTAGTTTTGCCATTGAACACTCTGATAAGCAATCAGATTGCCTGTCTGTGCTCAAGTGGCATTCGCCTTTGCAAGGAACGGAAACTACACATTGGTTACTATCACATCGTCTTCTTGCACCCAGAGTCATTCATTTCTTGAAAATACAGACAAGAGTTACTGAAGAACAAGACATATCAGGATAATATATGCACAATTGTAATCAACAAAGCTCACTGTATATTAGAGTGGTAAGTAAGTCAGCACTTTTATTTAATTTTAATTTGTTGATTATATTCTAAAAAAAAACATGTAATAA